TCGGAACTCATCCATTTTAGTCTTTCCCATGAAAATTTTTGCTAAATCTGTAAAATGGCCCCCAACTTTCCCCTCACCTTTTTATCCACACGCCTCCCCTAGCTTCTTTCTCTCATGGATTCTATTTTTATTTCTTCCTCACTTCCCTCTCCGTTCGCTGCTTTCAGTCTTCCCCATGAGAACTAATTGCTGTTTTTTTGCTTTTATTGATTGATAAAAGAGAAGCAGTAAAATGAACCAGTCCATAACTTTCCTCTCAGCTTTTTATCCATGCGCCTCCCTGGCTTCCTTCTCCATGGATTTTATTCATTTCTCCTCACTTTCCTCTCTGTTCTTCAGTCTGTCTCATGAAAATTAATTAACAATTGTTGCTTTTTTTTTATTTTTACTTATTGATAAAAAGGAAAGCTTGATATTTGAAATTGAAATGTGTTAGGATATGCAAAAGAATAAATTAATTAATGAGAGTGAAGAAGAAGGAGTGGTGGAGAAAAGGAGAGAGAAACAAAAGAGGCTTTTTGCTGATGAAAGAGGGGGCTGGAGAATGGAGATTCAAAATTGAAAAAGTGTTGGGACTTGGGATTTGGGAACATGCAACGAAAAGAAATTAATTAAAGAGAGGAATGGTGAAGAAAAGGAGTGAGAAGGAGAAAGTGACAAAGATTGAAGTTTGTATGTATTTAATAATTTTTTTTTTAAATGATGTCAACCGTCCAACTGTTGGTTAAACCAAAACCGGACTCTTGATCGAGTTAGTGTTCGGTCCGATTTTTAAAACATTGTTTACATAGAGAAATAATAAAGCTTAAATCTATATCTAGTTCTTATCTGTTCAGCCTCCTATTTTCGTGAAGGGATATGTCAATTTATACATTTTTGAGGTCAATGTAATGAGTGTTTTACAAGTTGCCTTGACATATAAAAAGTTCTCATCCGATCTTCTCTTAAAATGAGATAGGGTTAGTATAAGATATCTTTGAAACGGTATGGACTTGACAAGAAGTACACTTTGTCTTTTATGCACTTATTAAGCTGACATCAACATAACTTTTTAGGCATAATAGATTTTGAATACATTTTCATGTAGTCCACCTTTCCCAACAAGAATACCGAGCTCTGCAATTGCAACAAGTCAATGTAAAATGTGAATTAAGAGTTTTTCTCTTAAAAAAAGGGTTGGTCCGTTGTACCTTTAAGTTTCTCAAACAAGACTGCAGTTTCGGCCTTCGCAGGCCTCTTCTCGTCCCTGTCAGTTACTAATTCTACTCCCACCATGAGTCCTCTCCCTCTCACATCTCCTGACTGAAATAAGATTTCATCAATGTGAGAAAAGCTGCATAATAAAATTGCAATTCCAAAGCATAAGACATTTACTCTCAGATATTCAAACGGCTGTTCAATTGAACAAAAATAGATACAGCGAGAGAGAATCAGAAAGCCACAGAAAACTTTGTTAGATTTATGTGAAGACCCAGGATGTTCAGAAGTAGACATTGTGCATCAGCAGCACAGGACATGTCATTGTTAGTCTCTATAGTAGCCATACCATACCATCATTTCAATGCTGTATAGAACATTTGTCTACATGATATAAAAATTGTGGTTAAATAGCCCAGATCTCGCCAAATTTGCAGTTCAATTTAATGAAAAGTCAAACACAGTCAATTGAGATAAAAAGTAAACAATAAAAACCACCCTTGAGAAGCTATTAGTATTTAAGAGTAATGGGCCGCGTTCGGTTTAGGCTTAAAAAAAAAGTGTGACCCATTTGACTAATTTGACCTTTTAATTAAATATATTTTGATTATTTATTCATTTTTTACGTTTTTAACCTAATTGCTCTATTATTATTCCTAATTTCTATTATTGCTCAAGGTAAGAAAAAAGTCTTATTTTTTGTCGTCTAACCATCATATTTAAATTTAATAAAAGTAATATTGCTATTTTAATCTTTTAATATTTATTTATAGTTTCAATGATGAAACTTTAGAATGGAAGGACATTTATGTTCTATATACTACTTTGAAAATTCAGAATGAAACTTTAGTATTGAATTTTATTTTTTTATATTATTGCTACCGTAAAAAAATTATAATAAAAACAATGTGTGAAATTAAATGGTTACGAATTTTTATACACATTTTATATTTATGTGTTTAGGAATATAGTTTAATATTCTAGTATGAAATTATTTGTAAGAGTTCAACCATTTTATATTTTATTGTTTAATTAGAAAAAAGTTAAAAATGAAAAAGCTTTTAATGGGTCAAGTTAAGGTAACACGATAAAATAATGTTTGGGTTTGGGTTTTCATGATTAGACCCAATAAGCTAATGGGTCGAGTTTGGTTAAAAAATTTTGACATTTCACGAATGTGGCACAACACAAAAATGACTCAGCACTAAAGGTGGAAATTTTGGGTCGGGTTAGGTGGGTCAACCCTAACCCAACTTGAAAAAATACGGGTTAAACCCGGCAGCAACCCTTGGGTGGGCCAGGTTGCACAATGGCAACCCGCAACCCGGCGAGTTGCTATTTTGTCTCTTTTGCAAGAGACCCGACAACCCGCCGAGTTGGCTATGTGCAACCCGAAGGTTTGTACGTTACAACCAGCCAACCCGTCGAGTTGCAACAGCCAACTCGGCGGGTTGGCCGAAAAAGTTAAAAAAAATAAAATTTTTTTTTTCAAATTACCCTTTTACCCTTGAAATATAGCCGTTTTATAGCCGTTGAATGGGTCTTTTTCGTCATTTTTCTTTCCCATTTTTTCCTATAAATTGGCCCTAAACTCTCACATTTTTCTCACAACTCAAATTCTCTCATTCTCTCATATTCTTTAATCTCTAATCTCTCAAGTCTCAATTATTCATTTATTAGTTTTTGCAATTTGCTCATATTTTAATTTTTATTAGTTTTTCTAATTTTTAATTCATATTTCCAATTTTCCAAATTCCAATTTCCATACTCCAATTCTCTTTCTTTAATTTTTATTTCTTCGACATCCAATTTTAATGTATTAAAATTGAATTAATATTTGGAATGTTAACAAAAAAAAATTAATTTAATTTAATTATTGATATTTGAAAAGAAATTAACAATTAACTACAAATAATTACATTTATAAATTGTTAATTATTCATTTGAAAAGTTAATTAAACATTTAAACTTAAATAAAATTAAAAAAAAAAAGCGGGTTAACCCGACCCAACCCGATGGGTTAGGGTTGGCTGTTCGGGTTGGGCCAGCCAATTCTCTAATGTTGACGGGCCTAACCTGGCCCGCCAATGTCACTGGGCGAGTCAAGACCGACCCGCCATTTGCAGCAACCCACCGCGGGTTGGGTTGGGCCGGGCCGGGCGAGTTGCTTTTCCACCTTTACTCAACACTACCCATTGCCGAGTCTGCTTTATTGTTTTGTTTTTTTGGTAATTCCAAATTTCCTCAAACTTCTTTTGCAAACCCAATTTTAAAATTGGAAACTCCTCTGAATCTTACAATTTTTTGAAAACAAAAAATAATAATCTTTAATCGTATATGCGTCAATATTTGAAAAACTAAGACACAATACCCTTTAATCATATGAGTGTCCACTAGAGAATTCGAATTTCAGACCCACTTTGTGCTTGTTTGAGTGTTTTTGTGCTTTAGTGTCCTTTAGCTTTTTCCATGTTGAAATTGAAGTTCAATTTGTCTCAAGTACTTTAAAAAAAATTGCTATCTCTTTCAGTGCAGGTAATCAAGGCCACTATGTGACAATTGTTATACTTTATTTTTACTTTCATCTTTTTTTCTCAGAAGATGCATTGCCTTACTCTTTATGAGTTTTGTTTTTACATGTTCTTTTAAGAATAATGTGGTGATGAATGGTTGTGAAGCAAATTAATTAGTGAAATGATTAGAATAGCAAACACTCTTAAAATTTCAAAATCCTTTATTAAAATTTTTAAACACACAAACCAAAATTTAATTATCAATATTTACATATAATTTATGGGCCAAAATCCTTCAAATTCCAAGATTCATTAATTTTGTAATACATTAATCCAAAAATTCACCACTTATTTCAAAATTTAATTAAAGTGACATCAGGGATTAAGAAAGTCATGAACATGACGTGATTGCAATACCTACTACACTAAATTAAGTTATCAAGAACATGAATAACCAACTAATCAATATTATTAAATAAAATAAAATAACACTCTAGGTACAAACTGTGTATAAAAAACAACACACAATCATTTTTTGCCACATAAATTTGAAAGAAAAAGTTTGTATAAAAAGATTTTGAGTGTAATATTATTGAATTTAAAATGATTCAGTCATTTTAAAACACATTAATATGTATGAGAGAGATTGTATAAAAACTTTCTACATGAAGTATTATCCAATCCTTTTATTGCCAATTCATTTAACCTCATTTTATTAGCAATTTGTTATGTTGATTTCTTATATTAATATATCCATTTATTTGGTGACACGCCACTTTATATGAAAGTCCTTATATGTCCACTTTATATTTGTAGAATTATTCAATAAAGTAATAACATTATGACAAATTCAAATTTTAGAAAATGATCAATTGAATGGGTGGTAAGTATCAATTGGATGGATTTGTATAAATTGTTTTAACTTTTTTTAATAAATATCTAAAATTCCCTTAATCTATTAATTTTTATTTTCTTATAATTAATGGAACTGTTCCAAATATGTACTAGAATTCTCAATTAGCGCCTGATTTTTTTTTTAATACTATTAATTTTTTAATTTTATTTACATAAGAAAATATTAGATGTATTTTAGACTTCTAAAAAAAAAAAATTAAAAGCTGCCACCTTACAAGGGTCTAAGTGTGACTATCAGATTCTACTGGACCTTAATGGAGCAAAAGTATTTTGACTCGATAGTGGAATATAAACTCATTTACTCTAGATTATGTGATGTGTGTTTAGCCCTTTTATGTTTTGTTAACGTGAAATACCTGTAATCACTAGAAGTTAATGGCTTCTTCTTCTTGTTCTTCTTCCACTACTCCTAAACTTAAGTACAAAGTTTTTCTTAGTTTCCGAGGTGAGGACACCCGGGAAAACTTTACCAGCCATCTGTATGCAGCATTGTGTCAGCAAAATATTGCTACTTTTATTGATAATGAACTTATCAGAGGATATCCAATTGCCCACTCTCTTTCGAATACAATCGAACAGTCGAAGATCTCGGTTGTCATTTTCTCAGAAAAATATGCTTCTTCGAGATGGTGTCTCAAAGAACTTGAAGATATTCTTGCATGCAATGGTCCGATTGTAATTCCAGTGTTTTATCATGTAGCTCCATCTGATGTCAGGAATCAAACTGGCAGTTTTGGGAGAGCATTTTCAAAGCTTGAAGAACGTTTTAAGGATGATTCAGAGATGTTGCAGAGATGGAGGACTGCTTTAAGGGATGCAGCCAACCTATCTGGTTTTCATTCAAAAAACTATAGGCAACTGTTAATTTAACTTTCAGCTTTTCTTTTCTTTCTTTTTTTTTTTTTTTTTTTTTGGAATTTACTGCAGATAGATATTTCAAAGAATGATCATTTGGAACAACGCAGATATTTACAACTAAAAAAAAAAAAAAAATAGTTATCGAAGTATTTCTTTTTCTATGAACGTTACTTTATTTCCACTTATCTCACTGCAACTATGAACATTAATATATTTCTTCTTCTTTTTTTAATTCTAATATTTGTGTTTTATATTCACTAAATGTTTGATGAAATTAATTTAGATTTCTACAATAAGATATCGATATGCAGTACTTGAAGAATGAATATATATATATAAATAATATGTTTTAACTTTTTTTTTTTATAATAATAAATATTGAAACTTTAATATCTACTGTTATTATTTTTTATCAATATAATTATAACTTCCAGAATAAATGATAAAGCAAATAAAGGAAATCACACTAACATGGGAAAACCGACAAAAGTAGAATATGATTATTAGATAATATGTATTTATCCTATATAATAAAAATATTAATTTATTAAGTTTGTATAAAATGTCTTTTATTTATTTATAATCTAAAATTTTATTTGGGCTTAGTTATTGACTGTATTAATTATTAAATTTGTACATGATATGCGTTATTTATAATCTAAAATTTCATTTAGCTTGTTTTTAGGATTAACTATCAAATTTATATGCTTGTATATGTCATGTATGCATCTTTTTTCATTTATCTAATTTTAGTATTTTTTTATTTATTTATTTACTCTTTACTTTTTACTTTTTAGGCAAGAATCTGAACTTATCAAAGATATTTTGAAGAAATTGAATGATAAGTGCTCAGAAATTGACAAGAACCTAGTTGGATTGGATTTAAAGATTGAGAAAATTGAAAATTTATTAAGGACTGGTGTTTGCACGCTAGGAATTTGGGGTATTGGAGGTATAGGTAAGACAACTCTTGTTGATGCTGTATTCAGAAAAATCTCTAAACAGTTTACAACTTCTTTCTTTGCTTGGAATATTAGAGAAGAATCAAAGAAAATGGAGGGATTAAATGACTTGCGCCAAAGACTTCATTCTACAATTTTATGATATAAACGTTCTGATATTGGATTCACCTTGGAAAGGAAAGGGCTTGGCCGTGTTCTTATTGTCTTTGATGACGTGAGAAATTTAGAACAAATGGATTATTTAATGGAAGATTTTGACTACTCGGACTCCAAAAGTCAAATAATCATAACAACAAGGGATGAACAAGTCTTAAAAGAATGTGGAGTGGATCCCATACACATAATTAAGATGGAAGAATTATCTAATAGTGAAGCTTGTCAACTTTTGAACCGATATGCCTTTGGAGAAAACAGTCCAACAAAAGATTATTCTGAGCTATCGTCAAAGATAGTACCATATGCTGAAGGTGTTCCACTAACTCTTAAAGTTTTAGGTGCCTCTCTATTAAAGAGGACAAAGCAAGATTGGGAAAGGGTTCTAAAAAACTTGAAAAAAAATCCGCCTAAGGATATCCATAGTGTATTAAAAGTAAGTTATGATGAGTTAGATTACAATCATCGAGAAGTATTTTTAGATATTGCATGCTTCTTGAGAGGGTTTGAAAGAAATTTGATAGAAGAAGTCTTGGATGCCTGTGGCTTTGCCTCACGTATTTGTATAAATGATCTCATTGAAAAGTCACTCATCACTACCTCATCCAATATCATAACAATGCATGATTTACTTCAAGAAATGGGTAGTAAAATTATTCGTCAAGAATCTGCTAATAATCCCAACGAATGTAGTAAGTTGTGGGATCACAAGGAAATCTATCCAGCATTTAAAAATAATACGGTGAGAGCCAAAGATGCTAATTTTTTATTTCTAATTTACATATGAGATATAATAAAATATTAGCTTGCAAAATATTCCTTCCATTATTCTTGGGAATTAGCTCAATTGGCAAAACGATTGGGTGAGAATCTAGATGTCTTATATTTTACATATTTGAGAAGAAAGTTCGAAAAATAAATGTTTTATATCATAATTAATTATTTTTTTTTGTTAACATTCCAAATATTATTCTTGGGAATTAGCTCAATTGGCAATGTCTTAAAAACCGGTCTGGACCGGTCAGTTCAACCGGTCGGACCGGGAAACAGGAGAGAGACCGGATCGGTTAGTTTAAAAAACCGTTATGTACAGTTAATTCGGTGTGATCCGCAACTGAACCGAAAATTCTGTAGCACACCTTCTGTCCAACCGGTTTCGTGTCAAAACCGGGTTAATGTAACCAAAAGTCTAAAACCTAAATCCCTAATTATTTTTGCAATTTCGATTCGACATCTACCAGTAACCAGACAACTTCGACCATCAAACAACTTCGGCATCTTCAGATTCTTCACACCTTTCTTCGGTCGACCGCCGCAGGCCGCAATCGCCTACTCGCCGTCCGCCGAGGTTTGTTTGTGTTTCAACTTTCCTATTTTCGTTTCATCTTCGGATTCTTCACTTCACCTGATCTCACCGTGCTTGGTTGCTGGATTTGAATGCATTTCTAAGTGTTTATGGTATGAAGTTCTTATGTGAAGCTGCTTGAGTTTGTGTTATTGCTTTGTAATTTGGGTCAGAATTTCCTCAGTTTTTTGAAGATGTAATACAATTATTGCTCTCTACTTGTTCGATCAAATGCCACAGATAGTTATATAATTCCATTCTCCAGACTTATCAGGCCCATTCATTGATGCTGCCTTATAGTACATTTGTGGTTTCTGTTTCACCAGTCTTGTTTATGGCATTAGGCGAGTGAGTCTGAATGTTTCTTAAAGAATTAGAGGAACGACCGTGATTTAAGACTGGTGTTATTGAGGCACATGCCGTCTTTTTTGTAATTTTTCCTTTTCTCTTTTTTTCATCATCGAATTTCATTAGAGATTGGCTGGTTTTCCCGTTAATCATTTGATATTTATATATGTCGAGAAAAAGAAAAATAAATTGCAGATACTGGATTGTAAAACAGGCAAAATATTACATAATTTGCTAGTATATCCGTCTAACTTGTAATTATAATGTTTTTTATTTGGCACAAATCTGATTTACGACTTTCTCAAACCATTCAAACCAACATCAATTAGAATGTAACCTGTTGTTTTTCTTAATTTTTTGTCCAGAGTATGATGACATCACCGATCTTGCCTGCCGATCGTGCTAGTTCAACCAATCAACCCGGGACTTGGTCAGGTGACCGGGTCATTGACCAGGTTGGTTATGAAAACGTTGATTTGAAGCATAAGCTTGGATGTGTCTAAAGCAAGAGAGATACATTTACAACCTAAAGCTTTCAACAAGATGCATAACCTAAGGTTCTTGGAAGCCTATGGCTTCACGTGTGGTAACAAGGTATATGGTTTTGAAGACTTTAAGTCTGATTTCTCCGAGCTAAGGTACCTTTGTTGGTATAATTATCCGGCTGAATCATTGCCACGAAATTTTAATCCAGAGAATCTTGTTGCACTCTACATGACTTATAGCAAACTTAAACGACTTTGGACTGTTATCAAGGTATTTTTTAATTTTTATATTACCATGTTGTGCTTTAAATTGTAAATATTTAAATGTTATTTCTATTATTTTTTAATTTATTCAATTTGTTCTTTTGTTACAGCATCTTAATAAATTGAAACATATTGACCTCAGTCACTCCGAGCATCTATTCAAAATGCCAAATCCCTAATTAAGTCCAAATCTTGAGAGCTTGATTCTACAAGGTTGTACAGAGTTGTATGAGGATTTCTCATCTATCCCTGATCTAAATAAGTTTTTCGTCTTGAATCTATGAGAATGTAAATGCTTTGAAAGTCTTCCAATCAACCCTGCTTGCAAATCTCTTCGAAAACTTATTCTCTCCTGTGTTCAAATCTCAAAACAGTTCCATATATCCCTTATATAGTAGAAGAGTTATATTTAGATGGAACTGCAATAAAAGAATTGCCATCATCTAAGCATCTTTCCAGTTTAAAAGTATTTGAGTCTTGAAAATTGTTTAAAGCTAGAGAGTCTCCCAGAGAGTGTTGGTGATTCAGAAAATCTTCGAATAGTTATTCTCTCCAATTGTTCGAACATCAAAACAGTTACATGCATCCCTTGTGGTGTAGAAGCATTATTTTTAGATGGAACTGCAATTGAATAATTGCTGCCATTAGAGCATCTGTCTGCACTAGTAATGTTGAGCCTTAAAAATTGTCTAAGACTATAGAATCTTCCAAAGAGCATTTGTGAGGTTAAATCTCTTCAATTTCTTTATCTTTCGGGTTCTTCAAAACTTGACAGATAGCCTAATGGCCTGAAAAATTTAAAAGCACTGAATGAAGTGGAGGGAGTTGGTATAACAGATATACCGTCATTGACTTTAACATGTTTGAACAACCTTAAGAAATTAGCTTTCCTAAGATGTGGGCTTCAGAAGCCATCGGTTTCCCTACTGTCACGGTTACCACCTGCCACAAACTGGGGCAGCTAAATCTGGGAGACTGTTGCATCGAAGTGTTACCAAAATTCTTAACAAATTATACTCACTGGCATTTTGATATCTTGGCGGAAACAATTTTGAGAGTTTGCCGAGGAGTATCAAAGACGTCTCCAAGTTGTATAAGCTTGATTTAAGGAATTGCCAGAGGTTGAAATCCTTACCGCAACTTCCAGATAAGTCACTACGTATAGAAGCAAAGGGTTGCACATCACCAGAAGCGGTATCAGGTTTACCAACTCAATGCCTAAGTATGGGGAGACGCAAGGAGGAAATTAGCTTCATCAACTGTTCAATCTGAAACTAGATTTGACAGATACTCTGCCAAATATTGAGAGAGATGTAGATCTATGGTTTAGCTCTGAAGTAAGTCTATCTCTCTCTCTCTCTCTCTTTCTCATATTATATGATATGAAAATTTATTTACTTTTATAAATAAAATGTTATAGAATATTTGAAATTAGGAAGGTTAAAAGTTGATGGTTTTCTTTGCACAGGAAAACACAACATTGCTGTTAAGGGTTACCCTGCCAAAGGCTTCTATATGTTACCCTGGAAGCGAAATTCCAGATTGGTTTATCTTTACAAGTCAGACTGGTTATATAGAGTTTCCATCAGATTGGCTCAATGATGACTTAATTGGTTTTTCTTTTTGCGTTCTTGCATCATTCCGAGACTATGAAGAGGCTGGAGCTTTGGAAGTTTGTTGTTTTCTGGTTGTTAACGAGGAGTTTGTTTCTGCTGGCTGTTTGTTCAATGAATATGCACATGAGGTTATTGAATCAGATCATGTATTCTTAGGATATGACTATGATATCATGGCGCCAAAAAAAAATTATATGAGAACAGATGCAAGAATGGACAGAGACCTGAGATTTCCAATTTTAAATGGCTGCTTGAGGTGCTATCTCCATTGCTGCGAGAAACATGATGAAATGGATAAAAATAAACCATATGACATTTTAGACAGCTGGTCCCCACATTTAGAAATGTACAAGCCACCAATAAGAAGGGATTAGTAAGTTGGATTAAATTTGCGAAATTATTTCTGTTTGGTTTCTAATATTTGATTTATAGGTGAAGCATAACTAACTTTTTATTTCAAAAGGAAAAAAAAGAAGGAAAGGATTGTACAATGATCATGAATCATAATGCATGGAAAATGATCTTGCATTATTTATTCACATGTAGAAATAGCATATGGCTATGTCAATATTTTTTTTTATTTTTTTATTTTTTTTTTATTGATGTATATATTCATTACATTTTACAGTTCAGTGTATATCTGGTGCAAAGTGTATATCGGGTAGCGTATGCACATGGACTGGGCTGGACCTTAGTCAAACTTGGTGGTTGGAGACTTCTTAAAGAAAGGGTGATGTAACTCCAAACCGATGAGCTTATTACTTGAGGTTATTAGAACAACTTGAATGATTCCCTTTTACTTCCCCATGTCCCGCCAGTGGTAAAATGATGGCTGGCGCTTGTGCAAATTCAGCACAGCAGCTTTCTTCTTGCTTTGGTCGGAAACCCTCCGCTGGAAAATCAAGGCTTTTACTCCATTTCTGGGGATAAACGAAGGGATTTTTTTTTTTTTTTTTTTTTTTTTTTACAACATATATATGTAACTCGTGGAGCTCTACACTCATGGCAATTTATCAGCTAGCCTTCAGCAATTTATATTCATGTCCTATGCTCTGCCACTCTCCATTCTATTCAAGAATCATGAAGTAGCTTTTCTTCTTATGTTATTTGTTGTTTCAGACCGGCTTGATCTCGTGTGCACATGCTAATGATTTAGCAGGCAACTTAATGTTTTCTAGATTTTCTTCCCTGGAATCAAATTATGTTAGCGGACTACTGTGAGTGGATACATGCTGTTTTAATGTTTCTCGTGTTTGGTTTTCTGGACTGTGAAAGGATGCTGACTGTACTTTGATAGTGTTGTAAGCCGACATTATGTGAATGTTCTGTTTTGTTTGAAACACTAGTTTATTGTGAACTTAAAATTTTCCTGATGTTTCTGCCTTCTGAGGCTGCTTTCGTCTTTTATTTTGCATTATCAGATTTGTTTCCAGATAGTTGGACTTCTTATCAAAATTGCATTCAATAATATCAAAAATATTTCCAGATTTCTACATAATCTTTTACTGCCGGACGGTTTTTCTGTTGCTCTTCAATAGAGTTACTATCTACGTTGGGTCAAGTTTGGTTTGCTGGCAGTGAAATGATGTTGATTACTCTTTTCACTTTTGTAAACTGCTATCACTGGTTTATTCTGGTCTTCTTATGATGTTGTGTTTGGTTAATTGGCTCGTTTCTTTTATATGGCTATGGGACCAGAACTTATAAACTGCTCAATTAACATACTTCTATCTCTATTAAAACTCAAATCATTCTCCGAAAGATATATATAGTTATTGCCAATCTTTTTTACAGAGGCAGGTGCATATCAAAAGTCAACAACTAGTCATTAGCTTCAGTAAAACCAAAACAGCTACCTAATTAACACTAATCTTTGGTCCGTATGTTAAATCTACATGATATATACACATAAGAATTTATATATGAATATCTGGCATGATCAAAATCCATGGTGAGCCTAGAAATATTGTGAAATAATATACATTTCATCATTTAACAGTGAGCTGAAATTTGGAAACATGCTTGATATTATTGAAAATAAGCTCTCTTAAAGAGTTTGAATATCAAAGGATTTGGAAGATTTACATGATTTACCCAGGCGCTTAAAAAACATACTCTCATAACTTTGACATTGCATAGTCCAAAGCATCAACAAGAAAATCTGCATTTCCACAACAGAACAGTGTGATTAAACATTATGACAAAATAAATTTACAATAACAGATTCAACGGCTACTGGTAAAATCTATTGGATGAAAGGAAGCTACAGGAAGTTACCTGCATCATCTTTGGTGAAACACATTGGTGGCTTGATTCTGAAAACATTTCCATGTAGTCCACCTTTCCCAACAAGAACACCGAGCTCTGCAATTGCAATGAGTCAATGTAAAATGTTAATTAAGAGTTTTTATCTGAAGAAGAGAGTTGGTTAATTGTACCTCTAAGTTTCTCAAACAAGATTGCAGTTTCAGCCTTCGCAGGTGTCTTCTCCTTCCTGTCAGTTACTAATTCTACTCCCACCATGAGTCCTCTCCCTCTCACATCTCCAATGACTGAAACAAGATTTCATCAATGTGAGAAAAGCTGCATAATAAAATTGCAATTCCAAAGCATAAGACAGTTAATCTCAGGTACTCAAACAGCTGTTCAATTGAACAAAAATAGATACAGCGAGAGAGAATCAGAAAGCACAGAAAACTTCGTCAGATCTATGTGAACACTGAGGATGTTCAGAATAAGTAGACATTGTGTATCAGCAGCACAGGACATGTTATTATTAGTCTCTATAGTAGTCATATCACACCATCATTTCAATATGATGATGTGATGTCAATCGGTGCTTCTGCCAAACATCTCCAAATGTCGTTATAAGAAGGATGATTTATTTTCAGTGCTGCATGAAAACCTATAGAATGAAAATAGATCCACAATTGGGTTTTCCACTCATATACATATTCCTGAGGAGCTTAGTTCATAAATTTCTGGAGGGGAGTAGAAAGAATATGTGCGCATGCTGGCATATACACACTAATTCAAAGTCTTAGTATGACTGTAATGAGCTTACTCAGAAACTCTGTCTAAAACATTTGTTTACATGATATAGAAAATATGGTCAAATAGCCCAGATCTCGCCAAATTTGCAGTTTAATTTAATGTAAGGTCAAACACAGTCAATTAAGAAAAAAAAAGAGGAAAAAAAAAACTCTGAGAAGTTTTTAGTTCAAGAGTAATTACTATCATGTCTCTCTTGTAGAGCTCTCAAGCGTCCAATCAGGTGAGAACCAACATCAGCACAATGTGCTTGACGCTTCTCTTTATCGATAACCCTAAGCACCGCAAGCCCACCAACAGAACATACCGGGTTTCCACCAAAAGTGTTGAACTGAATCTTCTGAGCCATTACATTAGCTATCTCTGGTGTTGTCACTACAGCTCCTAATGGCAAACCATTACCAATTCCCTGGAAAATCATATTATCGTAATGTAAATGAATTATCTGAATGAGAACCATAAGAAGGGAAAAAAAAAAACTAAATTGGTGATAATATTGAAAGAGGTTAATTGTTTATGTATAGGGAAAGATTAAGAACTCAAAGGATTATCATCAAAACCTTTGCCATGGTAACTATGTCGGGAATGACCCCTTGTGTCTGAAAGCCCCAGTAGTGGTTTCCAGTGCGACCAAATCCAGTTTGCACTTCATCAGCAATGCAGACACCACCAGCCTTGCGCACAATGTCATAAACATGTTTTAAGTATCCAGGGGCCAATTCCACTGATCCACCAACTCCCTAAATTCAGTCAAAATTTTGAAAAAGGGAATTGCAATGTTTAGAGACCAATTCAGGGCTGTTGAAAGCACCAAGTTTAAATATATCTATAGGGACAACTATCAATAAAAACCTGAATGGTTTCAGCTATAAAACCAGCAACTTTTCCTGAACTTCCAAAATCAATGTGATCTTGTACGTCTTGGGCATAAAGGGCCGCATTTGAGCCAAAGATTCCGCGGTATGGATCTGGATTTACAACATGATGGATTTCACCCTGCAAAGTGGCAGGTCAGATTATGAACACAAGTTGAATTTCACTCTTAAACATGTTATTTATTTTTTCTTTTTCATTAAACAAACAAACAAAGAGAATAAACTATGTATATATGATGAAAATCAATTTACTCTTCAATAAAAATTTTCAGAAAACTTGCTACAGTTATGGATGTGTGTCAGAAGACAAGACTGAAAAAATAAGCATGCCACGGCCAATATTTGTAAAGTAAGCTGTAATTCACATCCCATGTTAACATTGTTGGACATTTACTAAACCAGCTTACCCTTGCGAAAAGTGTATGAGAGAAGAAAGAAATGCTATTAATCCCTAATGTTCCTGAGATGATGAGTTTCACACTATGTTGTTGTTGCAAACAATTCCAGATATGAAAAGTTTATCAAACAAAAACCCATGTTAAATACATATCCTCCGAACATATAGAACATCGACAAACCTGTGGTATGGGGTACTTCCACGTGTTTAGGGCAGTCAGTCCAATTGTATTGGAGCTTCCACCATGATAAGCATTTCTTAGGGCAATCATGCCGAGATTACCACTGTAAAGTCTGGCCATCAACATTGCTAGTTCATTTGCTTCTGTCCCAGAATTGACGAAATACACAACCTGCATTTCAAATCTCAAAGTAAATTATAGATGTTTACATTGTCATCATAATGTTGTTATTAAGTGGCCATCTTAATGTGTAATGTTATAAAATGAAAATCTCATCCAAAAAATATCACATATAAGAGAAAGAATGACATCAAGCTAGACTCGAGAACAAACCTTTAGATTTCCAGGCATTTTTGATGCTAATGCCTCAGCAAAGTCAGCTATAGCATGGTGTAAGTATATAGTCGTTGCATGCTGAAGAAGATTGTTTTGTTCTGTAATAGCATTCACAATATCAGGATGGCAATGCCCACAAGACACAGTAACTATTCCAGCAAAAGCATCCAGGTACCGCCTTCCACTTTCATCAAACAAGTATTGCATTTTCCCTTCAACAATATTGAGCTGTACACCAAAACAAAGAAATAATACCGGCTAATCACAATAAGGAACAGCAAAATTAAAGAATAACCAAACATGCAATATACTTGGCTTAGTATTTGCGTCCAACTTTGCTTTACAAACCAAACATTACAAAAATTTAAACAAGTTCATAAAAGCTCAGCACTCTTGTCACATAGATATTCCAATTTTCTTCAATAATATTAGCAATAACTCAAAATCAATAAACAACTAAATGGATTCTTTGATAGAAAGTGATAATCAAAGTAGAAATAAGCAATTGTGCAACTCTCTTAACTTCATATCTAGTATGCTTATAAAATTAACTAAAATTTTACGACTCAAGCTCATACAAAGGCCCAAAAGAAGGTCATAGTACATCAACATACTTCACCTAAATAGGATCACTAAAGCTTCATCACAACAAACAACAAAGAATTATAAACAACACAAATTAGAAACGATTTCTACTTTTAAACAAAAGAATATATTTTAATTCATAAACAAAATAACAAGCCATGAACTAAACAAATCCATTTGACAAAAGCAAACTACTGTTTGTCCTTCAAATGCAAAAAAACACTTAAAACTTAAGCTCCATAACAGCTAATAATCCCAAACAACACAACTTAAAAAGAGTTCAACTTTAAGATAAAGATCATATTTTTAGTACAAAAACATTCAAAAATGACAATTTTAAAAACAAACGCATTTCCCAAAAACACAAAAACTTACAGGCTTTTGATAGTAATAGAACAGAGAAGGACCCAAAAAGCGCTTTCTTTTCTCAAGAACTTGTTCAGCAGAAGGACCCAAGTAAGGCTTAGGCTGATAATCAAAGGGCGGCAACTGGTGCGGCAAGGAAGAAGAAGAATCACCATCAGTAGGAACCGCAGAGACCGAACTGCAGAGATTCCTCCTACAGTTCCCATAAAGCACCAGCTTCCTCTTCAAGATTAGCCTCTGCAAAAACGCCATTAAAACCCCACTCTCCTCCCGAACCTTCCCTTTACCAGAAACGAAAAGACAAAAGCACCAGGTGAAAATGCAAAGCAGAAGGGTCCAAGGAATATAAATAAATTTGATGAATTGGCGCTTGTCAAGTCATGAAGTTCACTGAACACTAATAACTAGGGGAGTTGGTTCGTTTTGGATTCATTTAACTTAATTAATGAATGTTTGATTGTGATTATGATTACGTATGTATTTGGATTGTGCGATGTTGATAGACACAACACATCATCCTGAGGTAGATTAAGCATTCCTCCAATTGTCTATATGTATTTTTTATTTAATGAGTTGTTGCACCGTAAATATTATCAAAAGAGAGTTTATATAATCACGAGGTTTTATAATATTTATATATAAATACCATTTTTTTATCGGAAACGATAAAATTAAATGCCCTCACAAAATATTTATGCATATGTATTCAACCTATGTAAACGTTATGAAGTTTTTTCTATATAGACAAAGGACAAATACTAGATAATGACATCATAACTGCCAAAATCAAATAGAGCCACTCAGCCAGACAGCCCACCAGTTGCTTATTGTTGATCCGTATGGGCGCAACTGTATAGGCGTATGGCACCGCTGATAAGATGGAAAATGATAAAGTTATCGAAAGTTTACATCGAATTTGTCCACCGAATGACGTGAAAAAATCCTTACCGTTTATTAATATTTACTGATAATAAATAAACGGTCAGTATTGTGTCACGTCATTCGGTGTACAAATTCGGTGTACATCCATCGATAACTGTAGCATTACTCTTGATAAGATACTCTTTCAGGGTCGGGATGTCAATTTTTTTTTACCCGGATTAAACTCGAGGAGTCGAGGTAACTTGTGTTTAAATTGTTAGCTCCAACCTATCTCGAGTCAACAACACTCAGGTTCGAGTTTAACTTGGCTTAGACCCAGGATAATTAGGTCGAGTATTATCTGACTTGGGTTTTATTGTTAGACTTAATCTAACTCAAGGTAACCATGATTTGGGTTGAATTGGAATCAAATCTAGAATCGAGAATATCCGCTGGACCTGTCGCCTTTTGGCACCCCCATTACTTATGTGAAATTTCAAATCTTTTTTTGCCGCATTTATATAATTTCCGTATAAAAAAAAAAATACTTATAAAACAAATGAATATTACATAATAAACATTATACGTTCCCAAACTACCCTCAAAGATTCCCAATTCAAAATAAATATTTGTTTCAATATTCTCAAAATCTAATCCTATTCTATTTTTAACTTAAAATATTTAGATTTTTCTAATCTCCTAGATTTATTAATTTAACTAAACACTACCAATAATAAAAGTTTATAAATTAATAAAAAACCCCATCCACTCACATATTCTCGACAGCTCGCCACCACCGCTAGAAGGTGATTAGAATATGTTAAAATGACCCACGACTTGCTGGATGTGACCGATTGTGTACTTATTTGACCTTTTTCGACCTGATCCATCGAACCGAAAAAAGTCAGATTTACAACAAAAAATCCGGTCATTGACGGCCAAGATATGACCGTCGTCAATCATCAGATCTAACCGTCAAAGGTTAGATCTTTTATTGTAAATCTAACTATTTTCGACCAGATCCATAATAGATCTAATCTAAAAAGACTAGATCGATACACTACCGACCATATTTAATCAATCGTACATCATTCTAGCCACTGTCCGATAGTGATGATCAACTATCGATATTTAATGGGTGGATGGTGTGTTTTTGTTGATTTAAAAATTTTTATTATACGAGGTGTTAAACTAAATTAACAAATATAGGGGACTAACAAATAATTTAAATATTTTTAAATTCAAATTTTATTATTGTAATAATAATCCATTCCAATTTTTTCAAAAATCCTATTCTAAATCCACTACCACTCACACTCACACTCACACCCAGAAATTTCAGAAAACTAATGAAAAACATTGCACAAGGATTATAGCTGTCAATCATTAGAAGAGAATATTCAGCATGGCCCCCACAATCCTACCAGCCATCCTCTACGGTGCTTAAATTACACATAAATACAATTATATAAATAAATTATCTTCTCATGGACAAGTGGACTCTTTGTAAGTACGGGTGTTCGGTTCTAGATACTCTACACTTTTTGAAAGAATCAAAATCAAAACCAAAATCAACGGTTTCTTAAAATTTAGAACTAGAACCGAAACCGACGGTTCCGGTTCCTAGATACCCAGAACCAGAACCTGTAACAATGATTCTGGTTCCAGTTCTGGGTACCCTATAAAATTACAATAACCCCCCACAAGTTTTTAAAATAGAAAAAAAAAAAATCCTTAAAAACTTACAAATACCCTCCCCCAATTGTTAACAAAAATAAAATTACAAATTATAAATTCAAAATTACAAACTCCATTACTTTGTAAAGGTAGATTCTCAAAAGTCAAACCAACTTACTTTAAATGTTATGAAATATAAATATATTCACATTACTTTTTCTACAAAAGTTTTTATTAACCTCCCTAATATTTAATTTTATTTTATATTAATCTCGGTTCCTGGTTCCGATTCCGGTTCCTAACTATGGGAACTGGAACCGCACAGTAACAGTTCCAAAAATTTGAAACCGAAACCTACCCATTGACGATTGGTTCTGGGTAGGAACCGGAACCAAACTCAGGGTACCCGCCGGTTCCGGTTTCAACCGGTTCTTTTGAACATCCCTATTTGTAAGTAGGCAAACAAACGAACAATTAGAAATTACAATCCTGACCCTGTTAAATTCATTAGACTGATTTTAATAATAATAATAAAAAAAATTATTTATCACTTGTCTGCTTTAAGAGTGAACACTTTGTTATTAATTTGATTATATATGTAATCTTTACACAAGAAATTTCAATACTTTAAGATCGTTATAGTTATGGCCACGGCTCACCCGAGACCTAGTCACTACCTTTTGCAAATATTGATGCAAATATGATACGTGCTCAAGCGCACGACAATAAACTAGAAAAAATTCTTAAATAAGACAACATAATCCATATGATTTACAATTTTAAAAGTTAATATACACGTGACGATGAATCTCCAATACAGCGATGTATAGATGATGTAATAGGCCTAATCCATATAAGAATTTTTCTTATAAGAATTGTGAAGACATGAATAAAGAAATTATGGCAAGTTGAGTCAATTTAATTAAGGCATGACAAGGAATGAGTATGACACAAAGCAGAAACTGATTCAAATCATATCTTGTCCCGACTACTAGTTTTGCTTCAGAAGTTACCGTGTCAATGGCGGCTACAAAGACATATCTTCCTCTTTTCTAGAGTGGTATCAAGCTTCTCCACCATAATCTTCTGATCAATCTTTGACTTCTAGCAAAGGAGAAAAATTAATTTAGCATCATTTAGAAAATAAAGTCCATCAAATATAGTTGAATTGTAAAACTTGTCTTTCAAACAAGCACAGAACCTTGTAAGGGTCAAGTAATTGTTCATCACAGGCGTGCAGAATCTGTGGGACAGTTGAAACGATCACAACTTCAGTTTAGAAACTTTTTGAGAAGTTGTTCCACTTTGACAGAGGAAATTCTTCAAATCCAGCATCCCATTTTTAAGCCTACCAATAGTCCCGACATGAACACAAACCATCTTTGAAATGGTGAAAACGAGTAGAATCTCTAACGATGATTTCTCTTCCCACAAGCTTGGAGATAAATTTAATGGCAGAGTGGCAGTCGTTGCAAACTCTGAGGTTCTTCATGATCCTCAATGTAGTCTTCTCTGGAGTACTTATTAGCCCAAATGCAATAGCCAGTTTCTCGCTGTGATGTCTAAGGATCTGCTCCTTCAGCTCTTCCTCAAGGTCATGCAATACAGATTCAGTATCAGGAACAAAACCCATCTTTTTGATCTCTTCCCAAATTTTTGCCATCGTAATGTAGATTGCATCTTTCTGAGGGTGAAATCCATCTTCAACCCCAAAGACATGGATCTTGTTCTGGATCTGAACCCAACTAAATCCTTGGTTTTTCTTCACTCCTCCATCCTTCATTGATTTTCTAATTTTAGCAGCATCTTCCCATTTTCCACAAGCTAAATATAAATTAAAAAGGGCTGCATAGGCTCCACTGTTGTCAGGCTCAATATGGAGCAACTTTTCCGCGGCAATTTTTCCAAGCTCCAAATTCTTATAGACCCTAGAAGCAGATAAAAGAGAACCCCATGTTGCTACATCAGGTTCAATAGGCATATTTTCTATAAAATCGTATGCTTCTCGTAGCAATCCAGCACGCCCAAACAGGTCAACCATTAATGCATAATGGCTTGGGGTGGGTTCAATTTTGTGCATATTTTTCATCAAATTGTAAAAGTTCTGCCCTTGTTCTACCAATCCCACATGTGTGCAGGCAGAGAGCACACCGACGTATGTTATATGGTCTGGCTTAATACCAAGTGCCAGCATCTTCTCAAACAGTTGTATTGCCTCTTCTCCAAGACCATGTTGGGCCAAAGCTATTATCATGGAAGTCCAAGATACTGTCTCTTGTTGCCAATGAATCAAATCAAATATTCGCCTTGCCCCGTTTATGCTCCCAGCTTTGGCATACATCGTAATTAGAGCATTGCTAACAGAAATTGAAGATGCTTGTCCTGATCTTAAGGCACTTGCATGAATTTGTTTGCCATGGTCCAAAGAAGCCAAGCTTGAAGCGACGCTCAACATGGCTGCTAGAGTGTAGTTATTTGGCTTGGGCCCTTCTCTGATCATTGTTCTGAAAAGGTCCACTGCCTCATTATTCAAGCCATTCTGCTCATAACCAACAATCATGGCTGTCCATGCAACCACATCACGGTCTCTCAATGAGTCAAAGACCCTTCTGGCTGCGCCTACATCCCCAAGCTTGATGTATCCATCTAGTAGTGCAGTAAATGCTATAACATTAAGATACGAAATTCCCATCTGCTCTACAATCTTTCGAGCAATTTCAACCCCACCAGACTTTGCATAACATGAAATTAAAGCATTTCCCACTGCCCCGGAGGCATCAAACCCAGTTCTAACAATATAAGCGTGAATCTCTTTCCCAATTTTCAACTTCTTAAGCTTGGCACAAGCTGCTAAAACACTACCAAAGGAGAACTTATCAGGCTCTAAAGAAGAATCCTTCAACATCTTTGCAAAAATATCCAAAGCTACAATATCATATCCATGCTGATTATACCCTGCAATCATTGAATTCCAGGTAACAATATCCCGCTCACTCATTAGCTCAAACTTAGCTCGAGCAAGATCAAGCCTACCAGACTGAATATGCAACGATATCACAATATTCCAGCTTGATAGGTTCCTTACTCTCATCCCATCAAAAATGACCTTTGCCATCACTTTATCCCCCATCTTAATATACATATTGAACAAAGAATTATCAACATTACCACATCCACTAAGGCCAAACTTAACCACAAACGAATGAACCTTTTTCCCCACTCTTAAATCCCCAACAGCTGCACATGAAGCAAGTACACTAGTAACTGTGAACTGGTTCGGCACAACTCCCTTTTTAACCATCTCTACAAACATTCTTATCGCATTCTCGAAATGACCCATCTCTTTATACCTCACAATCATTGTAGTCCACGCAACAGAATCGCGATACGGCATAGAATTAAAAACCCCACATGCCAAATCCACTTTCCCTTGTTTCGAACAACCCAAAAGAAGCGTATTCCACGAATAAGCAGTCTTCACAGGCATTTCATCGAACACCTTCTTGGCCTCAAAAATTGACCCCGTTTTCGCATAAAGATTCATTAAGTTATTCTTCAAAAAGACACTTAGCTCAAGCCCGGACTTCACTATAAGGGCGTGGATCGATTTCCCAACAAATGGGGTTTTGGATTTGAGGCTTCTCTGAAGAAGATGAGCATAAAACTCTAATGGGGAAGTGAAAGAACCCGGGTTTAGGGGCTCCATTAGAGGCCAGATTGAATGCTATGATTAGGAATTCTCGAGATTAAATTTAAAGGGTTTTGTTCAATGAAATGTATTGAGAGGGATTTTTCATTGACTGAATTTGGCGGGAGACGGACGGTTAGCAGTTAAAAAGTAATACTGTACTATGGTTGAAGCATTCCATGTTTAAAGTATATTATTGTGGAAACTTCAATTATAATTTTTGTGATAATTAAATATTATTATAATATCTCAAAACTTTGAGAAATTATTATGTAATTGAAGAGAAAAAAAAAACACTTATAATAATGTTTTCCACATTAGATTATGAAATGTTTGTTAAAAAAAGTTACAATATAAAGTTAACATTAATAGTCTATCTAATGCATGTGCATATATTGTAGTATTTCATTTTGTATAAAAAATCAATTATAAAAGATGGCACTAACCTCCATCAATGGTGCTAAAAGGTTATAAGTTATGCATGTGAAAAACTCTGATAGTCGACGTTCATGAAAATAATTAATCAATATGATAGTCGGTCTTATCTTTGGTCAAGACTTTCCTCTTATCTCACAACCACACACTTTCTAACATCATCGAAAAAAGATTAGTGTAACTGTTTCGTTATCTTACTCTTAATAACATGGTAAGACCAACTATTTAACAGTTTTCAAAAATTGTTGAGATGTTTGACACTTCCCGCAATAAAGATGAATGAAATTAGCCCTATATTTGGGAACCCCTTAATGTATATTAGATGATCTTTGATATAATAAATCATAAACTTCTTATTATTATGTAATCAATATCATGATATTTTTAGTTGAACTTAAACATATTTGGTTCGAACAATACATTTGTAAGAAGCATAATTTTCTTTCATGGTGTACTTTGATGTGGATGTTTAATTAAAGCTGATGTTTGGAGGCCATCAGTAACCTAAAAAAAAAAAAAAATCCTTCAGTATCAAAAACCAGCCGGAAATCCTCCTTTTCTTGGGTCACTAATACCCACAAGCTTTCCAGACTCGAATTCTTGTACCACAAATTGGCATATGGTTCCACCTGCAAGGCTTTCGAGAACATGGCCCTTCTTTTGAAGAGATGTCCTGATCTCGGTTGGAATTTCAAAGTGATCGCCGATCACTGTCGTCCAATTCTCATAATACACCGTGTTTGGTATCAGCTATGTAGAAAAAAGAAAGTTCAGTTTAGGTGAAGTTATGTTGAGGTTGAGAATTGTACTCCGTTAGAGACAATCCAACATAGAGCATATATGCGAGCTTCAAGAATTAACAGAATGGGCTCAGATGAATACCTGATGGTAGACTCTTGGTGCCATTACTGAAGAAAAAGGATCCATTCCGCGGAAAAAATGATTCAAGAAAACCTCAGCAGTTCCGGCAATAATCATGGCTCCGCCACTGGCACCTATCACAGCTTTCAGTTTCTCATCCTGCAGAAGCATAAATAAGGCGCACAGGAGAGTGTAATCCGGCGAGTTGAAAATGGAAAGAAAGACGACTTGAGGAGAACAACAAAGTAGCATTTATACCTTCAATACTATGGTAGGTGCCATGGATGATAAAGGCCTTTTCCCTGGTCTGATGAAATTAGCTGGAGCTGGTGGTGGGGTATTTTTATCACCATTTGAAGGGATAGAGAAATCATCCATTTCATTGTTGAGGATTATTCCTGTACTTGGCAATAATACTTTTGCTCCAAAGTATGCATTCACTGTGTTAGTCATGGAGACAGCATTTCGATCATGATCTACAATGGACACATGACTAGTGCCATGGTCATGGATTTGATTCCACCTGTTCAAGAGAAAGGATTCGATATAAAGTAACATACGATGAAAGGATCGATGTTTTAACTATGGAAAAAATTTGGTTTGTTATGTAGGATTATGCTGCCAATTTACCTGCCACCATAGTGCCAAGCATCAAAAGTCATGTTGTCATATATAGCTTTCTTTAATGTCTGTGCAAAATTATGCGAGAGCATATCGGATAAAACTTTAGAAACATTAACAAACTCTGGATCACCGAGATTCATCCTCACAGCAAAACTATGTTTCAGAGCTTCGATTTGGCGATGGATACCTAGGGGGCCTGAAACATCTGAAGGAACTCCATATTGAGCAAGAATGTTTAACATCTGTTGAAGTTAAAATATGAAACTTACATTATCGTGAATGTTATTGTTAACAATTTTTTATGAAAATAAGGTAAAGCAAACAAAAATATACTTACAAGTATCATTGTAGCACCTCCGGAAGAAGGAGGTGGCATTCCCATTACTTTAAGGCCTCGAATGTAAGCCGAAATTGGATCTCTCACTTTAACTGCATATCTTTGCAAGTCCTTTATTGTTAATATCCCTCCAGCCTTTTGAACATCTTTTACCAATTGAAAACCAATTGATCCATTATAGAATGCTTTCAAGCCATATTTTGATATTGCTTTCAGTGACTTCGCTAGTTTTTTGTTGCGGCAAATATCACCTAACTGCAAAAGTTCACCGTTTGATGTGAATATACTCTGCAGTCCATTATCTGCTAAGATCCCTGATTTTGCTTTCTCCATCTGCATGTGAAGGTATGGAGAAATTTTAAACCCTCTACGAGCAAGAACTTCTGCTGGCTTCACAAGCCTTTCCCATGGAAGCTTCCCGTGTTGCTCCCAAGCTTTGTGAAGGCCTGCGAGTACACCAGGAACTGCTACAGAGAGGATGCCGCTAGTCTTTAGAGAAGCATTGCTGGCATACATATTCTGAAGAGAAGCAGCAACAGCATAAATTTGATTTTCAGCCAGGCAAAAATATTTGACCATGTGAGGCTTCCGACACTCACTTATGGAAGCTCCCAATTAAACAGTTATGTACTTATATATAAGAAAACATTAATTGTTACCATCAATAGTTACAATAATACTACTTCAACTGGATGATTATATATATAGTCAAATCTCAGGTGCAGACATCTACAAATTTTTAATGAGCAGAGCAATAGGTTGTTAATGTTTCCAAGCTTAACAAAATGCAAGTTCTACACCTGAAAAACATTAGCCAACTGTTGATTTTCAATTCAAAGAAGTGTGGACATTCGCACTTTAGAATTTTCATACTATATGCCTAGATAACTGTATTTGACTGTTTGCAGAAACTTTAAATGGCCCATTTCAGATTATTTGTGAGTCAAGAACCTTGTAAGCTTTCATCGGAGCAGTTTCTCTCATGTCAAACGCTTGCGCTTTCCCACTGGCTAGCCTGATCAACATGAATGCTCCACCTCCAAGGCCACTTGATGCTGGGCTGACAACTCCTAAACAAAGAGCAGCAGCAACAGAAGCATCAACAGCATGACCTCCGGCACGAAGAACATCCATCCCTATCTTGGAACAACGCCCATCATCAGTCGCAACAACGCCATGATGAGTAACAATCACCTCGCGTCTATGTTTTGTGTGACCATTCAAATTGTCAAGGCTTGAACTCGGAGCCAATATCAAAAACAAGTGAAACAGAATGGTAGGCCATAGAAATGGGAAATCTGCAACGAACAACAAACAACATCAACACAATCAATTTGACTATTAGATCGCGCAATATAAGATTGTTAACAAAGAAAACTTTAGATTGCTTACATGTCGATATCAATTATCCAGCCAAAGGTTTTCAATAAGCACAAAGCAAGCTAAAATTGGNCTTCCGACACTCACTTATGGAAGCTCCCAATTAAACAGTTATGTACTTATATATAAGAAAACATAAATTGTTACCATCAATAGTTACAATAATACTACTTCAACTGGATGATTATATATATAGTCAAATCTCAGGTGCAGACATCTACAAATTTTTAATGCGCAGAGCAATAGGTTGTTAATGTTTCCAAGCTTAACAAAATGCAAGTTCTACACCTGAAAAACATTAGCCAACTGTTGATTTTCAATTCAAAGAAGTGTGGACATTCGCACTTTAGAATTTTCATACTATATGCCTAGATAACTGTATTTGACTGTTTGCAGAAACTTTAAATGGCCCATTTCAGATTATTTGTGAGTCAAGAACCTTGTAAGCTTTCATCGGAGCAGTTTCTCTCATGTCAAACGCTTGCGCTTTCCCACTGGCTAGCCTGATCAACATGAATGCTCCACCTCCAAGGCCACTTGATGCTGGGCTGACAACTCCTAAACAAAGAGCAGCAGCAACAGAAGCATCAACAGCATGACCTCCGGCACGAAGAACATCCATCCCTATCTTGGAACAACGCCCATCATCAGTCGCAACAACGCCATGATGAGTAACAATCACCTCGCGTCTATGTTTTGTGTGACCATTCAAATTGTCAAGGCTTGAACTCGGAGCCAATATCAAAAACAAGTGAAACAGAATGGTAGGCCATAGAAATGGGAAATCTGCAACGAACAACAAACAACATCAACACAATCAATTTGACTATTAGATCGCGCAATATAAGATTGTTAACAAAGAAAACTTTAGATTGCTTACATGTCGATATCAATTATCCAGCCAAAGGTTTTCAATAAGCACAAAGCAAGCTAAAATCGGCGCTGTTAGATTAGCTTGTAGGAATGATCTAAACCCCCTTATATAGGCAAATATTTTAGCAACTTTCCCTTCATAGTTATTAGCTAAAAGGCCACATTTTTGCCAACTTAACTAGCTAATTATGACATCAATCTCATTCAATTTCCTTAATTGTTTATATTAATTGAGCAAACACATAATCTTGTAAAATCAAAGTGTATAAGATACGTTTTTATGATCACCGTTTTCTTCATAACATTAAACCAAATACCAAATGAAAAATCAAATTCTGTGTGCTCCATTTATAGATTCCAAACATTCAATATCTAAAAGCTCATTGATTTCATATTTTATATACATAGAAGCAAACTCCATTGCATTAAATTCATACCCAAAATTGAAAAAAAAGATCTAAAAAAATAGTCAAAAAGCTTTGATTACAACTATAATCAACATTGAGAGCTTCATTTAGCTAAACATGCTATCTCTAGGCATTCCCACCTCACCCTTCATAAATTTCATTCAAAGTTTAAATCTTTAAACAGAAAATTAATCACAAATTCAAAACAAAACAAAACAAAATCCCAATTAAGAATGAGTTGACTCACTTGACATAGGTTTTGAATCGCCTCTACAAAGAATAAACAAAACCCTTCTCCACCTTCCATGAGCATAAAGGGGTTAGCTTTAACTGAAAGTGCCATGAAAGTGATCGCCTTTTGGTGCATTTGGCAAGGGGTCATTGCGCAGAAGTGGATAAAGAGAGTGACTGGTGGGTCTTTTGCACTTTTTGTGGTGCTTGGAAATTTTAACTGATGACATTCAAAAGGCACTAGGCTTTTTCTTCTGAAGAGTTGTGATTGAATTTGAACTCAACTTCAACTTCTACTTTTATTCTTTGTTTTTTAGTTAAACAAATGGAGAAAGTTGAGGCTTCGGCCTTGCACAAAGTCGCAGTCTTTTAAATTAGTCAACTATATCCTGTGCTTTGTATGATTAAACAAAAGACTATACTTTTGAGATATTTTGCAAAATTTGATAATTGATATATTTGATCAATATAATTATTGAAAATTTTGAAAACATATATATTTTTAAAAAAAAATCGAAGTCAAGGAGGTCAAGTGACCCCCTTGACACCCCCACTCCCTCCGTCTATGGCTACATGCAAATACAATCAGTCAATCATGGGGGGCTATCATCACACGTGATATAGATGTGCTATGGTTGGATGGTTGGATGGTTGGATGGTTGGACATACCAAACCGTATAATAGATTTACTTGTGGGTGATAGTCTTTGTTCTACTTTGTTATTTCATTACATGAGCACTACCATAAATTAATACATATATGATCAAGGGTAGAGTCGGAAAAAGTTTTCTTAAAGGGTCAAAGTGTGATGTTTTAAAATTTCACTTGTAAGTGTATTAACCCGAACCAGAGTTAAGGGTTGCTCCCAGTTGAATCGGTCGGTCCGATTCGAGTTTTAAAACAATAGTATAAATATGAGTACGGTCATGAATCATACATAGATGACTAGGGGTGGAGCAAGAAATTTTTCTGGCTGGCCAAAGTGTAATGCTTGACAAATGAGGAAGATGTAGTATAAAAAATATGTCTCGAGGTTGCATTTAGGAGGGCTAAAGTGTCAAGTTCAGAAAATGAGAGGGCCAAAGAAGATTAGATATTTAGGATTGAAAATTACATATTCCAGTATGTCAAAAAATTATTTGATCTAAATATACTGTTTCTCTTTAAAACTATATAATCAACACACAATGTTAATGATATTAAGTTGAGAAAAAAATCAACGTATAATATAATCAACATTCAATGTACAATGTTAAGGGAGTTATTGATAAGTTTTAAACTATAGGGGTGTACAAAAAATTAGCTCTCACCCGAATGCCCAAACCAATGGGTTAACGAGTCAACCCGAATAAGATCCATCTATCTCTAATTCAAACATCGAAATTCAAATTTGTTTCATTTTCTCTACCGCTTTGCTTCTGAACCAAAGAGACAGAGAGAGGAGATTTGATCGGACGGCAGAGAGAGGAGACGCCGCTAATCCCCAAACACTTCGCTGCTTCCTTCGCCGTCGTCTGAGGAAACGGCGTGTCATTTTGTCGACCTGAGAATATCTGGTTGTACTTTGAAGTTTTGTTCAAATTGGCGTAAATGGCGAAACGAAGAGGGAGAAAACCCGCTAAGAAAGCGGTTTCAGCACAAGATTCAGATGCCGAAGCCGCGAGAGAATCTGAAATTGAAGACAAAGAATCTGAGATTTTGCACCAAGAAGGTGTGATTATCTGTCTGTTTTTGCGAATTTCTTGTTTTACAACTGTGAGGTGTTTTATGTTGTTTAATCAAGCTATTCTGTTTATTGAAAGATGGGAGGTGGGTTTTTGTAAAAAATTAAACTTTGAGTGCGGTTCAGTGGCTGAGCAATATTAATCTTATGTTAGGTGGAGAGATGGTTCATTCTAAGTTGCTCTGCAGTGTGGTTTAGTATAATCATAAGTACTCACTTTGAATCGAAAAGTTTAAACGCTATGAGATCAAGTTAAGTTATTACTTATTGATTCGCGCGGGATTTGATTTCGAAATCTCCACTTTAGTACAAGGTTAACTTATCACTTGACTTATAATTACTTGAACCGAAAAGTTTAAGCATTATGATACTATGTTAAGTTACCATTTTGTCGATGGCAAGATTTGGACTTGATATAGAAGAGCATTTTGTATGCTTCTCATTTCAGATATGCGCCGATATTATGGGAATTATTGGACTTTTCTTGTTTTTGTAGACCCTGATTGAATATGGATTATGTCTTGATATCTCAGATTTTGCAGTTCTAACTTTTTGGCATCGTGCTTGTCTTTTTTGACTCTTTAGTGAGTTTTGGTTCACTACTAGAAGTTTCATAATTCTCACCATTTTGTTTCAGTCGAACGAGAAAGTGCTGCAGCTAGGGCGATTCGAGATGTGGAGATTGAACATACACTCACTGGGTTGCGTTTACTCAGATCATGTTTTAGTGAGGAACAGCTGAAAACCCCTGTGCTTCAATTTTTCAATGAAAATCTTCCAGACCTTTCAATTGTAAGAAATGAAGAAAATGGGCATTTTGAAGTGCAATGGAATGATAATAATGGTAATTCATGTATGTACAATGCTGATGGAAGAGATTTACACACTTCTCTTCTGCATCGGATGTCCATTGCTTATCCTTTTTGCTCTGCTGCTCCCTCTTTCGGTGGCTATGAGTTATCAAGCCAATCAGGTAATGGTGAATTAACTGTCCTCATTGATATTTAGAACTGGAATATGGACTACGTTTGAATTGTTTGTGTTTGACACGGATATTTTTCTTTTGTTGCGCAGTTAAAACAAGGGTTCTAGGTGCCGATAACCTGCAGATCAGAGACTTTGTATGTACTTTCTGTTTCTTTCTTGCCACTAGGCAGGATTTTCATGTTTCTAACATCTTCCGTTTAAATTGAGTTTCCTTGACTAGTTTTACGTTGTGATTATTTTTCTTAATAGACATGCTATCAAAATCGCATCTTATAGCATCATCCAAATGCTTATTCAACTCAAGAATAAACTTTTTTTTGTTGTAATGTTCTAAATTTGACATTTCTGTTTTTCAGTTTATGGAGGAGCTTTGTGATTCTCAGATGCTTGGAATGCATGATGCCTTTCGTACTCCTGGGGTTTGTAGCTTCTTCATGGTGTCTTTATTTTGTTTGCCTTGCAACTATTTCTGTTCATTGATCATGACGGCTTATTTCTGTACTTGTACAGTTAAGTTGGAAGATTAGTTCATTTTTTTATTTTTCAAAGCAAAGTGAATGGTCAAACAATCTAAGCAACACATTAAGTTCATCATAAAATTTCAAATTAAAAAACGCTATTCTGGGCCTTGCAAAATTAAAGTGGAATAACTCTTAACTATCTGTGCATACTCCAGATGATGAAGTGGAAATAAACAAATGACGAGGATAGCCAAACACCTTGAACTACTAATACTTTTGAAGTTGAACTAGCTAGTTACATTGGATAGTTACTATAATAGAATGATTTGTGATGATTAGCTAGTTACTCGTACTCTTATTTGGTGGAGAAACAGAATCCATAAGTAAAAGCTTGTTTGTTTTAGACAATTTATGAGTTGTTGCAACAGTGTGGCATGATATTTTGAGCTTTGTTGTGGAAGATCCTGAAAACTTTTGGGAGAATCTAATCAATTATCCAGCAGAAAGTTGATTCATCAAGTGACTATAATGGTTGTTGTTATGGTTGCAGGCTACCAGCCAAAGGCTATCTATTGGAATGACCCCGAAAACTTTAAGGTTGCCTAAGCCTGGCGAGATGCTTCTTTCTGTTCATGGTTCACCTCTTGGTGTCTACAAGGAGGAGAACATGGAAGCAATACAAGGTATGCATTTACATAGAGAATTTATCTCTTTCCGGTCATTGATACCAGTACTGTGGAGGCACATAGTTTCCATTTTGTTCTGGAAATAGAACTACTCTTTATCATTTTGGGTAACAAAAGTAACGTTTGCTTCCCTTACTTGAGAAAATGACAGATGCCTTAATGTTTCATAAACGATTTGTACGGCACAATATCAGAACTGGACAGTTTAATGTAATCCTGAAACTTGTACTATATTTTAGTTTGGTTCTGATGCTGTGAATTCTTGATTGCAGAGTCAGATGAGGATTGACTGGCTTCAAGCTGTTCTCTTCTTGGTCATTGGTTATGACATTGCAATGGCTGCCCACTCAAGGCTGGTCTGAATGTAGTTGCATTATTGTACATGAAATTGTACCTCTATTCTGAAAACCTGTTATCTTGACACTGATTTTGATTTTTGAGTTAAAACGAGTGTATCATATTACGAATCCGTTTTAAGGTTTTTAGTTTTACCATGATTTAGTAAATACAGAAGAATTGTAGCTCTTTCGCCACATCAATATAAATTATAATAACTCCATAGGCATGAAATGATTGTCTAGATGATGGTTTTCACAAATCGTAATTGTCTTCAATCAGTCATTCAGTTGATGAAAGACATTTTGGTTTAGACACTAATCAACATGAACAGATCTATAAGGGAGCAACTCCTAAACAAGCAACAACGCGTAAGCATTTCTTAAGGATGAGATACAAGACAGATTCTCCATTGAAAGAAGGCAAAGAAAATCTGGGAATTCGATGTTACAAAATACTAATCACTAAGTAAAAGCAGCTGCTTGGTTGTCAGTCGACAAGAGATTCCTGTTATATCATTCATAAGAGAACAGGAATGTGAAATATTTTACGCAACTGGCTTCGCTATACTCAATCCTGATCTTAAATATCCTGCGCCTGCAATCATCAAGTAAATGAACTAAACATTTATCAGCTGGTTTATCAAACATGAAAATGAAAGTTGAGAACAAGAAAATTTTATTTCAAGCTTGTAGATGGATGTGTTGAGGAACCTTTGAACCCAAAGCGATCGAAGCAACTGATAGGAAATGAGCATAACTGTGATATCTCAACACTGAGATGTTTTGTTGTGTGCATGGTTGAATTTAATAACAGATTCATTATGTAATTCCAAACACATACAAGTACATATGCAATGGATCAAAGCGGGTTGCCTACGACTTTTTATGAAAAAAAAGATACTTCCCCAGAGTACTTGTCGAATCCAAAACTATTGCTGGTCCTAAATACTTTTGAGAATGTTCAAATGATTGAGGCCATAATAAATTCAAGAAAACTAGGAAAGAATAAAATTTGAAACATGGACAGACTTTTCATCGTAACGAAGATATACATACCAGATCATATGAGAGCAAACAATGCACTAAACAGCTGAATAATCAGGTGCTAACTTGTCCACTATTTGTATGCTATATATTCGCTTTGAATCTCAGCTAAATCAGCAAAAGATCAGAAGAATGCAAAAATGAGTAAATCTCTCACTTCAACCTAAGTCTTTCCAAGAGTCCGTGACTTGCTCAAATCAGTTTTAGCACTAGCAGATTCTGGACTAGCCGTTTTAGACCCAAAAGTTTCCAAAGCCTCCAAGAAAAATCTTTTATTAGGGACTATACCGTCTCTCTCCATACGCTTTAGAAATTTTTGTACAAGGCCCTTCATATTGGCTTTAGTGTAGGCCTTGTAAAGAAGTTTATACGTCGATGAATTTGGAGTCACCCTCATATCATGCAGATTGTCAAAAAGCCTATCTGCTTCCATAGGCAAACCATTCATGCAGTAAACGTCAAGCATGGCATTCAAGGTTGAAACTTTTATCCCCTTCTCAGATATAAGCAGCTCATCAAATATTTCTCTGGCCCTAGAAACACAGTCACAATAGCCATACATTGCAATGAGACTCTCATATGTGATGAAACTTGGTGTGTACTTCATATCAGCCATCTTTAGGAAAACTTCTTCAGCTTTCCCTCGAAGTCGTGCTTTCCCATAGTTTATGATCATAGAGTTAAATGTAGGCAGCGTGGGATTCTCCTTGGAGCGCAACAAACTCTTAAATACTTGTTCCATCTTATCAAAAGCTTGTTTCTTCCCATATGAATCAATCAACAAATTAAATGTAATAATATCTGGCTTACACTGAGTACGTTTCATGCGGGAAAGTACATCTTCCATTTCTCTGATCATCCCATTTTTCCCATATGCGTCCATCACACCATTGTACGTATAAATATCAGAAGAAAGAAAGCTCTCATCAAGTTCTTTGAACAATGCATTAACTTGAGCAACATTTCTAGCTTGAGCAAAAGCTCTCAAAAGAATATTGTATGTCACAATGCTGGGTTGACAACGTTCCATTCCCTTCATCTTCTCAAAGTAACTTAGCCCTTTGGCTAATGCCTTTCCTTTATCCCGGGTGTGAAGGTGGGCTGTAATTAGAGCATTATAAACAGAAGTATCAGGCCGACACCCGCTATTACGCATCTCAGAGAAGAGCCACATGGCCATCCTAGTCTGGCCTTTCCTTCCCATAACTGTTATCAACTTTGAATAAATGCCATTATCAGCAATGTACCAGCGTTGTTTCTGCATCCATCTGAACACCTGAATGTTCAATATTTACAAACACAAACAGTTACATAAATTTACCAATGGAAATGCCAACTTCATAATCTAAGTATCTCTGCTTACACTGAAGTAAACTCATTTTCCTAACAGATTCACACAATAATTCGAAATATAGATTAACATTCAGGGGATCACCGATACTACTCTGACGAAGTTGCTGAACCGGTTATAGTACAAAATCCATGTCACATACGAGATTGTATGCCTACTAAAATAACATTATGAACTATTAAAACTGCGAACCCCAGCACCAGTACAACGATATGATTCCTGGCGCCGTAACCCTCCTTCATATGATTTAGTATTAATGTGATTATCCTACTCTGAAAATGCCAAAAAACCATAAGTAAATCCTAGTACCATTGCCAGAAATAATAAAAATATACATAACATAAATTTCCTAAAAGTGATTTTACATATCCCAAGCAGTATCTCGAGTCTCAACTCAAATGATTAGTCATCATATGTGGCATCGATATCTCACTGCGTCGAAATACTAATTCAATCATGTAGACAATAACCAAAATTTTCTTAAAAATTAAAACAAAAACCCACAACAGTAATGCAAGAAAACCAGAAAATATCACAACCCAGAAGCTGAAACTACAAAGAGAACTCATTTTTAGTGCAAAAATAATCCAAACCTCAAGGCACTGAAGCCATTTATCAGTCTTGCCAAGCTCTTCAAAGAGAAGAAAACAATGTTCACTCCTCACCATCTTCACATACTTATTTAGCGTCTTCACTAGCGGTGCTTTGTCACTGAAGCTCCTCATAATCTCTCTAACAAGGTCAAGGGTCTCTGTTTCCTCGCCAATCCGGCCCGATTTCCTTCTGGGTCGGGTCGAAACGCAAGAGATTCGGGCCGCGGGGAGCTTCCCGGGAAGGAGCCATGGAGGGGCAAAGGTAAAATTTTGAGAGGGTTTTTGGGAGAATGAGGAGGAAGAAGAGAGAGTAGAGAGTTGCAGAGAGTGGGATGACAACGATGATGATGATAAGTTTGATAAAGGCATGATTTTGGGTGAAGTTGGAGAGGATGACAGGGGGGTTTTGAGATAAGTATAATGGAGACTTTGGGGGTCTTTTGAAAAGATAGATACTTGTCTGGGGTTTTAGGAAATTATGTTTATCTTAAATGACGACAATACCCATGATTTGTACGGGTTCAAGAAAAATTTTGCTAACTGTAACTGACATAAATGCCCATGACAACTTAATAAAGTAAAAAAAAAATATCTATTGTACAATACACAAGACGAAAGTGCCCATGCTACAAATTGGTTTAAAAAGATTAAAGTTTCTTCAGATGACGAAAATGCCCATACTACAAAATTAATAAAAAAGTGGGGATTGAACCCGACGTGAATCGAACACGCAACCTTCTGATCTGGAGTCAGACGCGCTACCATTGCGCCACGGATCCACTTGTTCTCACTAATCGCAAAAGATCAGAAGAATGCACAAATGAGTAATCTCTCACTTCAACCTAAGTCTTTCCAAGAGTCCGTGACTTGCTCAAATCAGTTTTAGCACTAGCAGATTCTGGACTAGCCGTTTGTATGTACTTTCTGTTTCTTTCTTGCCACTAGGCAGGATTTTCATGTTTCTAACATCTTCCGTTTAAATTGAGTTTCCTTGACTAGTTTTACGTTGTGATTATTTTTCTTAATAGACATGCTATCAAAATCGCATCTTATAGCATCATCCAAATGCTTATTCAACTCAAGAATAAACTTTTTTTTGTTGTAATGTTCTAAATTTGACATTTCTGTTTTTCAGTTTATGGAGGAGCTGTGTGATTCTCAGATGCTTGGAATGCATGATGCCTTTCGTACTCCTGGGGTTTGTAGCTTCTTCATGGTGTCTTTATTTTGTTTGCCTTGCAACTATTTCTGTTCATTGATCATGACGGCTTATTACTGTACTTGTACAGTTAAGTTGGAAGATTAGTTCATTTTTTTATTTTTCAAAGCAAAGTGAATGGCCAAGCAATCTAAGCAACACATTAAGTTCATCATAAAATTTCAAATTAAAAAACGCTATTCTGGGCCTTGCAAAATTAAAGTGGAATAACTCTTAACTATCTGCATACTCCAGATGATGAAGTGGAAATAAACAAATGACGAGGATAGCCAAACACCTTGAACTACTAATACTTTTGAAGTTGAACTAGCTATTTACATTGGATAGTTACTATAATAGAATGATTTGTGATGATTAGCTAGTTACTCGTACTCTTATTTGGTGGAGAAACAGAATCCATAAGTAAAAGCTTGTTTGTTTTAGACAATTTATGAGTTGTTGCAACAGTGTGGCATGATATTTTGAGCTTTGTTGTGGAAGATCCTGAAAACTTTTGGGAGAATCTAATCAATTATCCAGCAGAAAGTTGATTCATCAAGTGACTATAATGGTTGTTGTTATGGTTGCAGGCTACCAGCCAAAGGCTATCTATTGGAATGACCCCGAAAACTTTAAGGTTGCCTAAGCCTGGCGAGATGCTTCTTTCTGTTCATGGTTCACCTCTTGGTGTCTACAAGGAGGAGAACATGGAAGCAATACAAGGTATGCATTTACATAGAGAATTTATCTCTTTCCGGTCATTGATACCAGTACTGTGGAGGCACATAGTTTCCATTTTGTTCTGGAAATAGAACTACTCTTTATCATTTTGGGTAACAAAAGTAACGTTTGCTTCCCTTACTTGAGAAAATGACAGATGCCTTAATGTTTCATAAACGATTTGTACGGCACAATATCAGAACTGGACAGTTTAATGTAATCCTGAAACTTGTACTATATTTTAGTTTGGTTCTGATGCTGTGAATTCTTGATTGCAGAGTCAGATGAGGATTGACTGGCTTCAAGCTGTTCTCTTCTTGGTCATTGGTTATGACATTGCAATGGCTGCCCACTCAAGGCTGGTCTGAATGTAGTTGCATTATTGTACATGAAATTGTACCTCTATTCTGAAAACCTGTTATCTTGACACTGATTTTGATTTTTGAGTTAAAACGAGTGTATCATATTACGAATCCGTTTTAAGGTTTTTAGTTTTACCATGATTTAGTAAATACAGAAGAATTGTAGCTCTTTCGCCACATCAATATAAATTATAATAACTCCATAGGCATGAAATGATTGTCTAGATGATGGTTTTCACAAATCGTAATTGTCTTCAATCAGTCATTCAGTTGATGAAAGACATTTTGGTTTAGACACTAATCAACATGAACAGATCTATAAGGGAGCAACTCCTAAACAAGCAACAACGCGTAAGCATTTCTTAAGGATGAGATACAAGACAGATTCTCCATTGAAAGAAGGCAAAGAAAATCTGGGAATTCGATGTTACAAAATACTAATCACTAAGTAAAAGCAGCTGCTTGGTTGTCAGTCGACAAGAGATTCCTGTTATATCATTCATAAGAGAACAGGAATGTGAAATATTTTACGCAACTGGCTTCGCTATACTCAATCCTGATCTTAAATATCCTGCGCCTGCAATCATCAAGTAAATGAACTAAACATTTATCAGCTGGTTTATCAAACATGAAAATGAAAGTTGAGAACAAGAAAATTTTATTTCAAGCTTGTAGATGGATGTGTTGAGGAACCTTTGAACCCAAAGCGATCGAAGCAACTGATAGGAAATGAGCATAACTGTGATATCTCAACACTGAGATGTTTTGTTGTGTGCATGGTTGAATTTAATAACAGATTCATTATGTAATTCCAAACACATACAAGTACATATGCAATGGATCAAAGCGGGTTGCCTACGACTTTTTATGAAAAAAAAGATACTTCCCCAGAGTACTTGTCGAATCCAAAACTATTGCTGGTCCTAAATACTTTTGAGAATGTTCAAATGATTGAGGCCATAATAAATTCAAGAAAACTAGGAAAGAATAAAATTTGAAACATGGACAGACTTTTCATCGTAACGAAGATATACATACCAGATCATATGAGAGCAAACAATGCACTAAACAGCTGAATAATCAGGTGCTAACTTGTCCACTATTTGTATGCTATATATTCGCTTTGAATCTCAGCTAAATCAGCAAAAGATCAGAAGAATGCAAAAATGAGTAAATCTCTCACTTCAACCTAAGTCTTTCCAAGAGTCCGTGACTTGCTCAAATCAGTTTTAGCACTAGCAGATTCTGGACTAGCCGTTTTAGACCCAAAAGTTTCCAAAGCCTCCAAGAAAAATCTTTTATTAGGGACTATACCGTCTCTCTCCATACGCTTTAGCAATTTTTGTACAAGGCCCTTCATATTGGCTTTAGTGTAGGCCTTGTAAAGAAGTTTATACGTCGATGAATTTGGAGTCACCCTCATATCATGCAGATTGTCAAAAAGCCTATCTGCTTCCATAGGCAAACCATTCATGCAGTAAACGTCAAGCATGGCATTCAAGGTTGAAACTTTTATCCCCTTCTCAGATATAAGCAGCTCATCAAATATTTCTCTGGCCCTAGAAACACAGTCACAATAGCCATACATTGCAATGAGACTCTCATATGTGATGAAACTTGGTGTGTACTTCATATCAGCCATCTTTAGGAAAACTTCTTCAGCTTTCCCTCGAAGTCGTGCTTTCCCATAGTTTATGATCATAGAGTTAAATGTAGGCAGCGTGGGATTCTCCTTGGAGCGCAACAAACTCTTAAATACTTGTTCCATCTTATCAAAAGCTTGTTTCTTCCCATATGAATCAATCAACAAATTAAATGTAATAATATCTGGCTTACACTGAGTACGTTTCATGCGGGAAAGTACATCTTCCATTTCTCTGATCATCCCATTTTTCCCATATGCGTCCATCACACCATTGTACGTATAAATATCAGAAGAAAGAAAGCTCTCATCAAGTTCTTTGAACAATGCATTAACTTGAGCAACATTTCTAGCTTGAGCAAAAGCTCTCAAAAGAATATTGTATGTCACAATGCTGGGTTGACAACGTTCCATTCCCTTCATCTTCTCAAAGTAACTTAGCCCTTTGGCTAATGCCTTTCCTTTATCCCGGGTGTGAAGGTGGGCTGTAATTAGAGCATTATAAACAGAAGTATCAGGCCGACACCCGCTATTACGCATCTCAGAGAAGAGCCACATGGCCATCCTAGTCTGGCCTTTCCTTCCCATAACTGTTATCAACTTTGAATAAATGCCATTATCAGCAATGTACCAGCGTTGTTTCTGCATCCATCTGAACACCTGAATGTTCAATATTTACAAACACAAACAGTTACATAAATTTACCAATGGAAATGCCAACTTCATAATCTAAGTATCTCTGCTTACACTGAAGTAAACTCATTTTCCTAACAGATTCACACAATAATTCGAAATATAGATTAACATTCAGGGGATCACCGATACTACTCTGACGAAGTTGCTGAACCGGTTATAGTACAAAATCCATGTCACATACGAGATTGTATGCCTACTAAAATAACATTATGAACTATTAAAACTGCGAACCCCAGCACCAGTACAACGATATGATTCCTGGCGCCGTAACCCTCCTTCATATGATTTAGTATTAATGTGATTATCCTACTCTGAAAATGCCAAAAAACCATAAGTAAATCCTAGTACCATTGCCAGAAATAATAAAAATATACATAACATAAATTTCCTAAAAGTGATTTTACATATCCCAAGCAGTATCTCGAGTCTCAACTCAAATGATTAGTCATCATATGTGGCATCGATATCTCACTGCGTCGAAATACTAATTCAATCATGTAGACAATAACCAAAATTTTCTTAAAAATTAAAACAAAAACCCACAACAGTAATGCAAGAAAACCAGAAAATATCACAACCCAGAAGCTGAAACTACAAAGAGAACTCATTTTTAGTGCAAAAATAATCCAAACCTCAAGGCACTGAAGCCATTTATCAGTCTTGCCAAGCTCTTCAAAGAGAAGAAAACAATGTTCACTCCTCACCATCTTCACATACTTATTTAGCGTCTTCACTAGCGGTGCTTTGTCACTGAAGCTCCTCATAATCTCTCTAACAAGGTCAAGGGTCTCTGTTTCC